TCCCTCTCCTTCCCTGTTTTCCTCTCATTTTTAACCCCTTCATGACTGAGGCCTTTTTTTTAATTTTTTGTACCCATGTTATATTCCACATTTTAGGCCTGAAAATGACTTAAAACCCCCCAACATTATATATTTTCTGAATGCCAAGACCCTATAGAATAAAATGGTGGTAGTTGCAAATTTTTATGTTGCGCAATATTAGCGCAACTCCTTATTAAACCCCAATATTTAGTGAAAAATTTAATTAAATGCCGCAAAACACAACAAAATACCCATTTTTTAAATGAAATATAAAAGATGAGGTTACAACGAGTAAAACGATACCCAACATGCCCAGGTTACAAATTGCGTGCATCCGTAAAACGGTGAAAAACCCCAGTACCCCAAAAAGTCCATAGAAGACGCTTTAAAAGCCCCTACAGGTCATCAATTTAGAGATACCCCAAAATACTGGCCCTAGAATTATTGCTCTCACTCCGGCGTGCGCGGCGATACCCAACATGTGTAGCGCGTTCGTCGTTTTCATACGTAGGCGCACCCGACGCGTGTTTACGTGGCGACGCGCGTGCTCGCGGGGGCGGGGGACTTTTAAATTTTTTTTTTTTATTATTATTAGATTTATTTTATTTCAATTTAATTTTAAAAACTGTTTTTTTTTTTTTTTACTTTACTTTGACTGCTATCACATGGGGGGGCTTGCAAGCCCCCCCATGTAATAGCAGATGGTGGTGACAGGTCCTCTTTAAGGTGATGCTGGGGGTCCAAAAGACCCCCAGTGTCACCTTTACACTAGAAATAAGCTATTGAAGTGCAGATCGCACTTCAATAGCTTATAGCTGGGCTCCAGGAGCCCAGAACTGACAGCCCAGGGACCGGAAGTGATGCAATCTGCATCGCTCCCGGTCCCATAGAACGGGGAGGGGATCGATGAACGGAAGTTCGTCGACCTCCTCCCCAGCTCCGCGCGGACACCAAGATCGCCGGTCCCGGGCCCGTAGGAGGGGCAACGGAGCCCGGGAAGCACGGCGGGGGAGGGGGGGGCGGCCCCTTCTTCGGGACGCAGAAGCGATCTGGCGACAGGTAAGTCGGCTCTACAAGTTTAAACAGAGTCCCGGCGGCAAAAAGTCACCGGGAGTCTGTTTAAACAGCCCCGATGCTGGCGACGTACACTGTACGTCGTCAGTCACGAAGGGGTACATTTCCTTCTTGACTCCATTTGTACTTCTCTGACACTTCCCATCAATCACTACATTTATTTACTGACTCTGCACCATTCAGGTGGTGACAAACATAATATATGGTCTCCATATACAATGGACAAAGTGCACACATGACCATATTGATCCCATACTGATCCCGACTTTCAAATTTTAATATGTGTGCTTTTGTCATCATAAACAATTGTCATGTATGACATATGATTGGCACAGTTTTTTCTTCATACCTGTCTCTTTCCTAAAATCAATACAAAAGAAATACTCCCTCGCATTATTATATGACAGTAGACAGGGGGAACCAAACACTAGCACAGAGAATTTTTCTTTTCATTTTACTGACTTATGTTATGATTCAGTATTACAGTCTGAAATCTTTTCAAAGTATGTTATTGACTGATGATCTTCTAAGAGTGGTTTAGTTCCCTGAACACTTAGTATTAAAGTAAATTGCATTTTTCAACAGCTGACATTCTGCTCAAGTGTTTCATTTGATTTACCAGCAAGCTGTGAAAAACTACACAGCACATTCCCCCTTTCATTAAATAAGCAGTGTGACAGTATACAAAAATACATTGATCAATTTTATTTATTATAATAAATAGCTGTATTAGGTGGTATATTTTTCATTATTTGCATGGAGTTCATCTTTAGGTGGCTGCTTATACAATGAACATTTGTTCCCAAGTCTGTCCTGATATCACGTTCCTGTAATCCCATGTAAAGCAGCATTTAGACTAGGAGCGGCAACATTTTCATAGAATCATACTTCCTTATAATATTTTTAGGATGTCCTTAGCAATCTAGCTGAGCTATTCATATAATAGTTGCAATCATCTGGTTTAATATAGAAAAACATGCTTATCTACTACTTTATGGTGTTCTTGCATCCGCTGGTTTGGAATATATTTTTAAGAAATTGAGGTTTAAAGTTTATGACAACACTGTTTACTTTTGAGTTTTTTTAGCACTGTGGGTTTCTTGAAGGATCTAAATACTGTATGCACTTTGTGATACATTTATACAGCTATCTGCCGTATTGTAAAATGGTAATTGTGACAATGGTGTATGATAGCCGATTCAATACTTGTATATTCACTGTTATTTATTTTATATATTGCCCCTCATTCTGATTAAGCTGATTGCGAAACACATTAAAAATATTAATCACACTATTGATGTTGTTGGTTTCATCATGGACCCAAGAGGGAGAAATTGAAAATTTTAAATCATGTAACTAAAGTTATGTTATCTACGACCAACAGGGGCATTATGTGAAATATGAAATTGTGATTGTGTTATACCTAAACCCAGGGGTGTCCCGAGGCCGGGTGACACACGGAGCAGAGACTAGGTGACACCCCGCTGTGACATAATCGCGCATGCGCGTGACGTTGCCATGCGTGTGCATCTGACTGGCACCTGCCGGCGGCTATCTTGGTGATGGACGCCGACAGAGAGAGGAGGGGATGTTCACCCGGCGGGACAAGGTATCCGGCTGCGTCCCCTCCTCTCTCCAGATACTGTCGGGCTCTCGGTCAATGACCGAGTGCCCGACTTTTCAGAGGGGGTGACACCAAAATGACTGTCGGTAATTTTAGTGTCACCCCTCCAATGGTGGCACCCGGGTTCGGGCCGCACCCCCTTTGTGACGCCACTGCCTAAACCTTTTTATATAATGATTTTTATGATTATTGTTTTTATACCACAATACAATAAAGTAGGTCATTTCAGAAACATGTTTAGTTCAATTGTTGCCACCTTAAAAATCCATTTTTTCAGTATCTTTAGACCAATACATTAATATAGATTGTGAAATATTGTTGTTATATTATAGCTTTTCCATTAGCACCAATTCCTTTCTTGTTTGTTACATAGTACATAGGTTTTGGATTAGCTACATGTATTTATCAAGTGCATTAACAGCCCAACTGTAGTGTTATTATTTTACCCCTATATTTTTTTGTATCTAGTCACTAGTGTGGCCTGTAGGCTCCATGCTGCTGATCTTTTCCCCATTACTGACTTATTATGTTTTGTTGAGACAGCCATCTTGGTAGAGAAGAAGGACATTGCTTTCTGATGTCAGATCTGACTGATTACTGGTGATCTGATGACTGTTGGGGTAATATATAAATGACAGCAGAAAAGGTTTAAAAAGCACAGACCCACAAAATTAATTTTTAAAAAAAGCATGGTGATGTGTGTCTTCCAATCTTCAGATAAAGCTTCATTTCCAGCAAGGGGAATAGTGAGCAACACAAAATCGCCATCCAAATCTTTTGAGACTAGTAGTTACAGGCAGCAGTGCCTTAGATCTGACACTGCAGATATACAGATATGAGGCTCAAGGCACATAAAGTGCACTATTTCCAGGAAGAAGTCAAGACAAAAGGTACATTTTCAGGGTACTGTACTGCTTGGGCAAAATTTACTTAAGTCTAGATTAGGGCTGCAACAACTAATCGACATAATCGATTATAATCGATTATTGAAAAAGTTGTCAACTTTTTCAATAATCGATTTTGAAAATAATCGTTAACTGCAGCTCTAGTCTAGATGTTCCCTATAAGATCTGGTTAACTTTAAGGAGCAAAGCTACGTTAACCACACTCTGATACTCTAATCACTCTAATAAACGTATTTATCAACAGATTCTTCTCCCCAAATGCTGGTGTCTTCATATGTATACTACTGATAGTCAATTGTAATAAAACAGCTGTAATACACATCACTTCTGCATTCACAGCCCGGACGGAGATCAGCAAGGAGATCTGCCGAGAACGAGCACATATAGGCGATCGGCTATATGTGAAACACCCGGTAACGGGTGTGTTTAATCGTCGGGTCTTCTCTGCCCGTGCGTGCCCGCTAGGGGGCGCGAGCAAGCAGAAAAAAAATTGCCGTCTGGAGACGGCAACCAGCAAATGCAGCAGTGCCGTCCGTCCGTTTTTTTACTACGGGCGGACGGCAAGAGGTTAAGACAATCATCCAACTGTGGTCATAAACACAGGAAGTCTAGAATTGGAGACGCTATCCAACTGACCAAAATATTTTGCAGACAGTCACATAAGGATGCACACCTGCATGGCCCAAAAGTGAATCTTTTTGCCTATGCAGGTGAGAGAAGAAACACAGCCAGACACAACTGCATTTAGTTATCTATGTGACAAAAAAAACATAGAAAACAGTTTAATTTATCCAAATTGGCTGATGACTACTTCCATCAATCAACTGACTCTAAAGCACTTTGTTGACTTGCGCATAGACCATTAGACTTAATCAGGCATCATCTTTTTCACATCTACCTTATACATGCAGCATCCATAACCAGTTTGGTTGGATGAAAACCCGAAACACTTTGTTGCAGAGATGTAATTTTACATCACCTCTATGTGTGGTTTACAGATTAATTTTCCATTAACTTCCCACTAGATATACAGTATACTACCATGATTCTAACTGTGGTTTCCTCTCTCACCCAAAATCTCCAAAAATCTCCATCACAGCAATCCTGCATTTCTGATCTGAGTGTGGAATGAGCACTGAGGGAACCTTGCTTAGCTTGTGGCCAAAAGCAACTGCCTTAATGGTGAAACCTCTGGGCTGTGTCTGCTAGTTTACCTAAAACAAGGTGACTCAAAATCAACAGTGCAGGTAATTTTCTGTGCAGATAATTCTACTATTGCATAATAATAGTTCTTTTAATTGTGGACATTTTTTCTGATTGATTACAAACATCATCTTTGAATTATATCAGTACAAAAGTACGTTTTTCAACTTTACCTGAGGAACGAGGCTGACGTGTATGTTACAGAAGTTCTCCCTCTTAGCCTTGAACTGGAATTGCCTGAAAGCTTCAATGAATGCCATTCCTTCAATGTCCCCAATTGTGCCACCCAACTAAAAAAAATAAGTGAGAGTTATCCTACTATAGCAACAGTAATAGTTTCACTACTGATTATAATGTGTACACAGGGGGGAAAGGATATAGTGTGCTCATAAATGGCCCAAATTGACAGTCAAGTGGTGACTGGTCACAATTAGTGCTACTCCTTGGTGTGATTTGTCAGAAGATCTCTGTGCAAACTGGTAGCTTGTTCCCTTTTATAAATAATAAAAGGAAATGAAAGTGTTACATCTACATGTGCCCCGTCAAAGATTTGAGTGAGTCACACAAGACACAGCAATAGGTATCTGTAATATAATCAACAAATAAGCATCTCCCTGCCCATCGTTTTGGAGACCTTTATATGCCTATGGCTAGAAATAGAGACAATAGAATGATATAGAAATATCAATAAATCGAGAGATCAATAGATATAGTAGATAATAGATATTAAAATTGACAGAAAGACACACAGAATACAATGGGCTAGTAAACTTTCATACAGAGTGGTTTCCCATCACAAATGAAGATTACCATCCAATGTAACTGCTTTTTAGCTTATTTAATGAGACAAAAGATGTATGCAAAATTTAGAATCCCACAACCATCAATCAGCAATAATCTTCTGCTGCCCTGTCCGTTCCAACCAGGGGACAGCCACAGCATGTAATTCCTACCTGGTTCTAGGCTGGCTGAATTGGTGAGAACGCCTAGTTGTTTGCAACCAAGAACTATACACCCGCATTCAAATTTGAAGGGAACGGCCAGTGGGCATATTGTTAAAAATAGGGATGTTCAGTACAAGTACATGTACAGATACTTTTCCAGCTGCAAGACTAGACAAGAGAAAAATTCAGAAGTTAGGAGGCGGCTGTCATTGGTAAGGACCATATGGAGCTCTTGGGATTTATGCATCCCTGTTTTAATGTATGATTTTTTTTTTTATACATATATATATGTGATGTACCGATACCAGTACTGATACTTGTCCAAGTACTGACAGATACAAGTACTAATAAATTTTTGTTTATTGTCATGTGACTTTTTTTCTAAAACAATACAGGCTAATGATTTCAGAACAGTGGTGGAGAGCCCAGAGCCAGGTCTGGTAGTTCTCGTGAAATTGCCAAGTATCGGCACTGGTATCTGAACATCCCTAGTTAAAACCATATCTACGTAACGCCTATCCCTGGGGAAAAAACAACTGTTTTTCTATGTCTAGGGGTATTGTGTAAAGGAATTTACTTACCTGATCCCCGCTCCCCTGGCAGACACTCACCTCCTCTCCCCTATGTTCGGGCTCATGGACTGTTCCTCTGTGTCCTCACATATAAGGCAGGGCTATGGGCCCTTCATTTTATGTGAAGACATCGGAGGGCCCCGGACTGCCGGTGTAGAGGTTGAAAGAAGCTGCGGGTGTCAGTCTTGGTTCCTGTTTTTATAAGCATTTGTGGACATGTCCAAAAGCATATAAATGAAGGTAATGATTTTCCAATGTTATCATTCAGACTGGACATTTACCTGTGTTTAGGTACATTCAGTTTAGCTGCATTTAGAGAAAATAGAATTCTGGGAATTCAGAATCTGATTAGAACTTTTAAACATGGCTACACTGATGTTAATGTGACTAAACCAGACTAAACTTGCTTCAAAACAGGAACTTCTAAAAACAGGAAAAGTCATCTGGAAAGCAGGAACTTTGCTAACACCCAAATAACTGCTCAAGTGTGAATGAAGCCTTAAGGCCCCGTTCACATTGAGCGATTTATCGCGCGATTTTTGTAGCGATATCGCTCATATTTCCGCACTATATCGCTCTATGTAGCTTCACCAATACAATTCAATGTAGCTGTTCACATCTCGTCGCTCAATGTCGCTCAATATCGCTTGTAGCTCGTCGCTGGTAGCTTGTCGCTTCTACATGACCCTTTTTTAGAGCGATTTTGAGCGATATTGCTCCTGATTGCATACAGCCCAATAGGAAGATGTCGCGCGATGTCGCGCGACACGTCGCTCAACGTCGCTCAATGTCGCTCGTCGCTCAAAGTCGCGCGATTTGCATGTCGCTCAGTGTGAATGGGGTCTGAAGTGAACCTGTGCTTTGCCCTTCTAATGGACCCTTCCTAAGGAGCAAATACGTGCCTTCATTTCACTCCCCCACCAACTGTCAGAATTAACCCTTTGGCTGCCAAGCCCTCCGGAACATTTTGCAACTCAGCTGGCCAAGCCATTTTTGCACGTTTTCCCATTGATTTGATTTTCAACTGCTGCGTTGCTAGCGTTGGTAAAAGACCCCCCAAACCATATATTTTCTGAAAGCGCAGGCCCCGTAGAAAAAAAAAGAGGGTGCTACTAAATTAGTAGGCCCTGCGATATTTGCGCAAATGTTTCTCAAATTAACATTAAACCAATAAAAATACACAATTCAATTGATAAAACCCTAAAATCAGTTTAATCGCTAAAAAATATATATTTTCTGACTAAATCGAAAAGATAAAACTGTATTGAGTTAATAAATAACAAATATTTGCAAATTTGAAATTGCGCCTTTTTGCGAAAAGGTAAAAAAATCAAGGTACGCAAAACTGTAAATAAGCGACTTATGTTAAAAATAGTTTTTTGCGCTGTGTTGGTGTTTGTGTTGTGATAAACTGATATAGGCGTATATTTAATTGCAACACAAGGTATCATAACGCATGGCAATGCGTCACAAAGCTTTGCCATGCGCTGCCACAGTTAAATTAATGTTTTTTTTAAAAAAACAACGCACTGTAGCGCATGTGCATGGCGTACACCACAATATGGTGCATGTGTATGTTATGTGTGTGGGGGGATGGGGGGGTTGTGCTTTTTTTATTATTATTTTTTTTAACATTTTTTATTTATTTTGTAATAATTTATTTATTTTTTTACTGTTGGGAGGGCTTTGGTGAAATATTTGGGGTCTAAACAGACCCCTGACATTTCCCTTTTGAAATAGAAATTGAGGACACAGAGTCCTCAATTTCTTTTTCTGCAGCCTCAGCACTCAATGAATGGGAAGCACTCAGTACAGAGGCTTCCCATTCATTCACAAACTGCTGATAGTAAAATATTTACTATCAACAAGTTCTGAATGGGGAGAAGCCTCTGTAGTGAGTGCTTCTCACCATTGAGAAAATCATAAATGAACAGGAAGTGATGTAAATCACATCCTGTTCATTCATAACTGGGGACAGATAGTACTATGTGTCCCCAGACGATCACTCCAGTGTTTGCTCTGCACAGATAATTTTTGCTAATAGCTGTCATCAGCGGCTTGTGAGCCACTGATGACAGCTATTAATTTAAAGGGGACAGTCCAGGGAACAGTTTTGCTATAGGTTCATGGTCGCTAAAGCGACCATGAGCTTATAGCAGAAATGTAAATGGCACCGCCGTAAGGCATACTGACCTGGCCAGCTGGGAACAGTTTTGTTCCGCTGTATGCCTTACGGTGGTGGCAGGGAAAGGGTTAAAATCAAAAGTCCTATATAAGCTCCTCCTACGATGAGTGTTCAAAACTTACACAGGACTATGGACACCCTGTGTGGCAGCACTGATTGGCCCATCGCTTTCACATGGAGTGATTCTCATGTTTTCCGTTCCTGTACTTGCTATTTGAATGGGTAAAACACAGGTTTGCTTTAAGTCTAAAGTAAAAAGAAGGAAACAAGGAAGGAAATATAACACCAACCTGTAGACAGTCAGGGGTGATTATACTAGTGCTGGAAACACAACCCTTCAACCAGGACCCTAAATGTGATAGGAACCCTGTAATGTGCACTACAGTCTCTAGGAAACTGTTCTAAGATCCAGTGGATCCCAACCAATCCAGGAACTGCAATGATAGCTAGGTCAAATATGAGACTGTGGGTGACAAATAATATCATGGTTGGTGTAGCATAGATGCCAAAGTATTTTTTGTCCTTTTAATCCCTTGAAGGAGCTAAAAATTTAATTTGAGCCTCAACTTTTTGTAGTGTCACTGGCAATCACATAAAAGATGTAACTATTGGACTACATTGTACTTATCTGTAGTAATTTAAAACTAATTATTATTTGCACTGCTTCCTCTAAATAACCTAGTCATGCGGTACGCCTGCGGTGTGGATGAAGAGGCTTTGACTTATGTGTCAGCATCGCAAATTAAAATTTCAGTTTTAACAAATACATATCAGAGGATCGATAAGTTTTGTTTTACATTACAATTCATTGCCAATACCTTCATCTATTTTAATAGCTCTTCTGTCTTTGAAATACAGAATAATAATAATTCCAGCAAAACAGTACGGTGGGCAATGAACCAGAAACCAGATGACAATTTGTAACATTACAAGCATGCAGTTAAGTTACTCTGAAGAGATATATTGACATGAATGCAATTAGGTGCATAAGGAAGCATCCAAAGCAAATTGCTACGGGTTAGCAAAGATTATTTTTATTTAGGCAAGTTTGCCATCTAGTGGTGCAGATATGATTGTAAATCATATCCAAACTGAGAAAGGAATCTGTTGTCAGATCTATATAAACTCAGTAAGGGGAATACACAGCACAACATAAAAATAAAAACATGTTTTAAAACAAGTAATAATTGATATGTTATAGAACTTATAAAAGTGCACCAATCTGCAAAGTTCTGAGAGTTCTTGTTACTGAAGATGTGACAGATTTTAATTCTTCACAGGCACATAATTAAGACATGGTTGGGGTCAGGTTTTATTCTGCCGCAGTGCTACTTTAGATCAACGAAGGGAGGATTTATGACTCATGCTGTAACCTTGTAGTAAATCTGTCCCACAATCTGTCTCACTGCCCCTGCTTAGCATTGCTTTGCCATGTGTCACAAATTGCTATAGGTATGGCCACCTTCAATTAAATAACACAACACCTTGCATATGCTGATGACACGCACAAGCTCTCCTCAAGGCTGCGGCACCACAAATAAGGTCTTATAAGACTAGAAGAAAAGTTCTGCTTTAACCCTTTCGCTGCCAAGCCTCGCGTAAGGCTTTTAACCACAACATTTTTGCAATTTTCCTCCGATTTGTAAAAATATTCTACTGCTGCTTTTAGCGTTTGTAAAAGACCTCTCAAACCATACATTTTCTCAAAGGACAAGCCCCGGTAGAATAAAAAGATGGGGTAACTAATGTTGTAGGTCCTGTGATAATTGCGCAAATGTTTATTAAGTCAATATTAAACCCATAAAAATATGCAATTAAATCAATAAAAGCACATTAAAGTCAGTATCAGTGCGCACAAAAAACACTTTTCTGACTAAATCAAAAGATAAAACTGTATTGAGTTAATAAATAACAAATATTTTTACATTTTAAATTGCGCTTTTTTGCGAAACAGTAAAAGAATAGAATTATGAAGAAACGCAAAACTGTAAATAAGCAACTTATGTTAAAAATCTGTGTTTTTGTAATGCCTGATATGGAGTGCCGTTTGTGCGCTGTGTGTCGGTGTGTTGTGTGATAAAAATGATACAGGCATACATTTAAACGCAGCACAGCATATCACAACGCACGGCAATGCATCACAATGCCTTGCCATGCACTGCCACACAGTTAAATTAATGTTATTTTATATTATAATATAATGTTTTATTTTTCTTTCCCTTTTGAAATAGAAAAAGAAATTGAGGACACAGAGTCCTCAATCTCTTTTTCTGCAGCTGTTCTGAATGAATAGAAAGCACTCAGTACAGAGGCTTCCCATTCATTTACGAACTGGAGATAGTAAATATTTACTATCAACCAGTTATGAATGGATAGAAGCGTCTGTACTGTATGCATCTATCCATTCAGAATGAACAGGAAGTGATGTAAAGCACTTCCTGTTCATTCATAACTGGGGACACATACTACTGGTATGTCCCCAGTTATTTACAAACATTGGAGTGATCAGTCAGCGATCACTCAACTGTTTGTGCTACAAAGGAAGGATCTATAATATTACACATATTTACCAATCCTCCACTCGGCCACGCACAGAGGTGCTCAGCCATCCTGAATGTGATAGCCACTGGCTCTGCTCTCCTTCCCACTTGGCCATCCTGAAATGGCAGCGGCACCATGGGGAACAAAAGTAGCCACCCTCCAGAACCTTGGTTCTCAACAGGTGGGTCGTGACCCAAAAGTGGGTCCAGTGAGTTGCCACATGCTTTCCACTTTTCTAGGTGAGAGGCTCCTCTGCCTCCCCTGGTGCAGCACTGTCAGTTCTCTCAGCAAGCAGCCATTCAAAATATGCTGCCCGGCACCGAGTGTTAGCTTGAGGTGGGATAGGATGGGGCTATGGCCCTAAGAGAGCTCCATCCATGCATTGCTTACAGCTCCCTCACGTGTCCTGTAGAGGTGCCTGGAGCGGAGTGACATCACATTCTGGCTCCCGACACCTCTACAGGGCACGCAAGGGAGCTGTACCAGCAATGCACATAAGGATGGAGCTCCGTCACAGCACAGGAGCCCACACTGGACCCCAGGCTGAGGATCCACTCCAGATCTCGTAAGGTAGGGAGACTGGGTGGACCTTAAAAAAGTGTGTGAGATCGTGTCTGTGTATGGATGTCAGTGTTTTTGAGGGCCCATTCACACTAGTACAATACGTTAAGCTGTACCACACCCCCCCTTCGCTGAGGGGGATGTGTTGCGTTGCCATTCATTTGAATGGTACCCCAAAGGCACCTCCCACCCACAGTTTGTACGCCGGCACCGGAACGCGCGGTACCCTAATGCCGTGTGCTCCATTGCAGTGCGACTTGGGTCACAAACTTAATGTCCGAGGACAAATGCGGGTCCTGAGGTTGCACAGTTTGAGAACCACTGCTCCAGAAGGAAGGACAGTGTCAGCAACAATTCAGAGATGATTTGAGGATCTACAGCCAAGTGATGCACAAATAAGCTCCAATGATTGAACGCATTTTTAAAGTTTAACTCCTGAGTTTAGTCTTACTTTAACTAATAAGAATGTTGATACATAATAACATAATAAATAATTTGTTAAAATATTTAACAAATTTGTAGTGTTAAAGGAGAACTATGAAGCGAGTGAAAATCACTCAGAATGTGCTGTTTGAAATAAAGCCTCCCAGTGCTCTACCTCACTCTACCAGAGTACATGCATGACATTAAGCAGTCAATGGATAAGAGGGAGCATGGATGCTTGCCAGTCCCCCAAGCGGCAGCTGCATTCGTATACTGCCCAAAAAAAAAAGATTAGTTTGAAAGAGACAAACTCAGAATCAACAAGCTGTAAATAACATGATCTCTCAGGTAACCTCATTCCAAGTCAATCATATGGTGCCCTATGAAAGAATTACTTCTCTCCTTAGACTGCATCCTCCCCTCTGTTACTGTGGTACACTTTTACTGTCTCCAGAAGCGAGCATTCTTCAATTTAATCCAGGTGACTCAAAAGTTTGGAGAGCCAAGTAATAGTGGAAACAGAGCAGTAATGATTAAAACCCATATCACTGGGTACCCTAAGAAATCCCCTAAGCCTGTGTTTAAATTGTGCTTATATAAGCAGCTATGAATACCATTAGCTTAGAACATATACTTATTTGTACTTTCACAAACACTTTACCTATATGGATATGAGAAATGTGTTTCAGACCTTTCTTAGTACTATAAAAATCAGAGCAGTAAGAAATTCAGTCAGTGTCTTCAGATTCAAATACAAAATGTAGTAAATAAAGTGATGAATAAGATGCTGCGGGAATGACAGTATACAGCTGTCAGTGTCAGCAAGCAAGATTGCCAGTTACAAAACTCACAATATAAGACACTGACACTTGTCAGCTATATGTTAATTGCACTTGCCTCAATAACACAGATTTGTGGCTCCTGGCGGTCTTTGTCCACAGGGACCTTTGCTTGATTCATCACCCACTCCTGAATGGCGTCAGTGATATGAGGGACCACTGCAATAAAGATGAAAGCTTTATTCAGACATATAGACATAAGAATATACCAAACAACTGGCTACAGATTAGCAGCCAGTTCAGCAGCAGGGCTCACCAAAAGCTGGTCATAGACAATCAGTTTCTTTCATACAGTCAGCAGAAATGCCTAAGTAAGATGAAGTAAGTCCTTCAACGCTCTTGTGATGTAATACAATCTCACATATAGTTTACTAATTTGTACTAAAAGCATAGCCCATCACGGGACTGAGCTTGGAGCGGTGTCTACTTTACAACACACACAGAGCCCATGGGGAACAAAAGTAGCCACTCTCCAGAAGGAAGGACAGTGTCTGCACCAATTCAGAGATGATTTGAGGATCTACAGCTGAGTGATATACAAATAAGATACATTTTTGTTAATAGTTAGGGTACTTGAATGCATTTTTAAGGTTTAACTCCTGAGTTTAGTGTCACTTTAATCATATATTTTATTAAAACAGCTTAGCTTTATATGTCCTTAATTATTTTTGAATGTACGCAAGGTATGCAAATTAGTCACAGTTATTGTCAAGTTTACTGACATATGCTGAAGTTAAATTTGTCCTGGGTATTTAGGCATTAGGGAGTCATTAAAATGTTAAACAATCCATTCAATTTATGTACAACTAAGAAGGCCCTTGTGCTACATTGGTAGATCTAACAGAGATTGCACAATCTAATTGTAATGTGCAGCCAGCTTAAATAAATATTTTACAATAAGTCCTTCACCATTAGAGCTAGTGATGCACCGAAATTTCATCCGCCAAAACATTTCAGCCGACAATGGTACTTTTGGCAAAATGCCGAAAGTACCATAACGGCTGAAAATGCGGCCGTAAATTCAGTGCCCCCAACTGCTTCTCTTCTCCCCGCTGGGTGCGAGTCTGTGTCCACTCCGATGCCCGCTGCTCTCCCCCACCTGTGTCGGCAGAGGCAGCAGAGATCCAAGGGGACACAGACCGATGCCCAGCAGAGAGAAGAGAACGTTTCAGGAGGCTGGCTATAGAAGATTACAAATCTCAGCAATCTAAGATTGCTGGTTGCCATCCTCCATTGCTGTCTAATCATAGAATGAGTAACAGTTCTTCATAATTATAAGGAAACTGACCTATAATCATTAGTCTTTTTTATTTTAGAAAACATGTCACATGTCCCTGTAAGGAAAAGTATCGGTAATTGGTATTGGTAAGTAACTGATGTAAAGTACTTGTATTTGGGACATCACTAGTTTAAACCCCTGATTTTTCCCAAGAGTCCCCAACAGTAAAGTTAAAAAATGGATAAATAAATAAAAATAAAATAATTAAAAAATAATTAAACATAGTTACATAGTATTTGAGGTTGAAAGAAAGACATACGTCCATCAAGTCCAACCTATTAGGATCTCATTCTAGGAGTACCTGTACCCCTGTATATTACGGTCCCTTAAGAAATCGTCAAAAAGTTTCTTGAACAATTCCACATTATTTGCTGAAATCACCGCTTTTTTTAAAAGGTTGGGGGAAAAAAACATAATTTTCGATTTCGGCCTGAAAATTTCATTTCAGTGTATCTCTAATTAGAGCATATTAGATTTGGTTAATCAATCATATTTCGCTACAGCAAGTATATCATTATGAATACAGGTTAGAGCCTCATAGCATGGCCCACCTTGTACGGTTTTCCCCAGGTAATCTCCTCTCCGTTCTTTGTTGATCACATGTTGATAAATTTTCCCTGTGGTGATATTGTTGTCCTTGTAAAGGCTGATATCCAAGAATCTCTCATAATTCCCCAAATCCAAATCTACCTCTCCCCCATCATCCAATACAAAGACCTCTCCTGGAAAGCAAGAAAACAGCAAGACAGAAAAAATGAAGACAACATAGTGATATATTTTTACTATATTACAATACAGCAAAATCCCAGGCCCGTCTGGAGAAGCCAAACAGGAGTGGGTGCCATAGAGTCAAAGCTTGCATATATGATTCTCTGTACAATACTATACTAAGGAGTTCATTGAAAAAGCGGGCCGCACTAGCTGCAAAAAATGTGCTCTGCTGGCTTCAGTACTCTGCAGCCGCAGAGCGCAACAGTACTAAACAAAAAAAGGCAAGAGGAAACCCCGGTCATGTGATCTCTCAAATGCATATGTCTAACTCTCCTCTAATTACAGAGCTCTCTTTGTTTCATTAATTTATACACAAGAATTTAAAAAAATGAATTTTTCTAGTTTGGCCAGTGTTAGCTATAAAACAAGTAGTGTTACTGTAGATAAAAAGTACATATTGCATTTATTATAATAATGCCTTTTTTCAATTACTAGAAAATTATGTGTTTGGTACAATATAACAAAGTTTAAAGACTCAGAAATAATATTTTCCAGTCCATCTTTAAACTATCCTGCAAGGCTTTTGTTTGCCCATAACATTCCAAGTCAGATGCACTCTTCTAAGTTCCCAACCTAGGTCCTTCACCACTGAGGTTTCCATGGTGGGGGGACCATGAATCCTGTGATGCGATGGTGCCTGAGACCCAAAGTCCCCTTCACTCCCATCCACTGACCTCGATCCTGAGGGTACCCTGGTCAATGGACATCCAATAGGAAGTGTCAACATTATGAAGTCATTGACATTGTCACTCAAAGGACCCAAACAGGAAGTAACCAAAAGAGGCAAAGCCTTGAGGCTGCAGCATCATGTGACCACGGCTAAAGGTAGGTAAAAAAGGGCTTTAAGAGTGGGCGGGTACAATTTTTTTAAAGTTAGCAATCAGATAGTGGGGCATGGGAGGAAGGGGTGAGCAGAGGTGACATTTATTCTACAGTTGAGCTTTAAATATTAATGGTAACAAATAAATAAAAAAACACAACTAAAACTAATAGCTATGGGTAGAAGTTTTGGAACAAGTAAATTAAGGCTGATTAGAGTTAACTAAGGAACAATAAGGGAATACCCTTTTACAAAAAGAAAATGTTTTAAAGGAAAGGTAGGGTTGCTTTAACTGTTATCATATTAAAATAAAAGGTCTCCTCTTTGATCTGCACCTGAATATATCAGGGAAAAGACCATGTAATAATAACAATGCTACATAGTATTTCTAAATAAAGTTTCTCAACAGTGTACCGAACACTGATCATAAACTTCATTTTACACAACAGCAGCCATGTGAAGAGAAGCGGGGGGGTAGGAGTTACTGTAAGCCTTAGAAAGCTTGCTGAAGTTTTTTTGTAAGTATCTCCTACGCCCAAAGTCTGCAAGTGGTTAAAGGCCGTGACACACTGCAGGCGAGCAGTGTGTCTAGTGAGTTCCGATCCCCCGCTCTGCTTGTAGCACAGCATCGAGAGATGAAAAAGTTTATCTCCAGCCAATCACAGCACGCGATGCAATGAAGGCATCACAAAGCGTCAACACGTGACCAGCCAATCAGATCACTCAGTTCTGAGTGATCAGTATCTGCCTGTTTCCAAACATTAAATAAATAATCCATGACAAGCAGAATCTGTAGAGGTAACCATGAAAAAATACGGTACAAACTACAGTGTAGACAAGCTGCGGTGCGGTGCAAAGTGGAAGGTTGCAATTTTTTCGCTACGCCTGCAGTGTGTCACAGCCTTAAAGCAAGGCTGAACAAATCCTAGGAGCCAGGTAGCCAATGAAGGTAGCCAGGTAGCCTTATAAACTGACAGTTGGTGCTCAACCTTTGTGGTTGTTGTCAATAGAGCTGGCTCCTAAAAAAAATCCTGTTGGCTCCTGACTTGGACAGACTGGCTCCTGAATTCCAAATGAATTTGTCCACCTCTGGGTTAAAGTATTCCTTAGGAAACTGACATATCAGGTTAGCTTGCACATGCTTTATATTTAATACTAATTATATACCATGTTCATAAGGTGAAAAGGTCCCAGCATCAATATTAATGTATGGGTCGATTTTAATGGCGGTCACTTTCAGCCCACAGGATTTCAAGATTGTGCCAATGCTACTTGCGATGATGCCTTTTCCTATACCGGATATGACACCACCAGTCACCAGTATGTACTTCATTGGCCCTCTATGTAACGTGCAGAAACGTTGAAAAAGAAATCTGGAAAGTAAATAATAAAATAAATATTACAGCGGCAGGGATAATATTATACAAATGTGGAAACCTTATAAACACAACACAGAAATCATTCTACAATATCTTCACTCCTTGAAAAAAAAGAAAAGTAGAACATGCATATTTTTTTTCACCACAATGCAACAAATCCGGTGTGAACTAGCCCCATTCACAACCATTAATTTTTTTCGGTGCCCTTCAATTAGCATCCATTGAAAAACTCAACGCAAATTAGAAGGTACAATTGCAAGTCAGCGGACCCTGTTGACTTGTGCTTTCCTTCTAATTTAGGTGTGAATTTACCCTCAAAGTACACAAGGGGATTGACCAATCCTTTCTCCCGTATAAAGAAACACAATTTCCAGATTTTTATGCTTCCTGCAGAGTACTCTTCATGTACCCTTTCCTTGTGTAAACATTATACGGGAGATTGGACTCACTTTGTCTATACACTAGAGGCCGCCATTGTTGGTTGGGGTTCCTCCTGTCTCCTTTTAACTATCATTTCAATTAGGTTCAACTATGTTCAGATACCAAGTACCATACTTGGGACAAGTGCAACTACAAGTACAGATACTTTTCCAGCTCCAGGACTAGAATAGAGAAAAATGTCAAAAGTTAGGAGGCAGCTTTCATTTTTAAGGACCATATGGGGCTCCTGGGATTTGTGCATCCCCATTTTAATGCATCATTTTTTTTAAATAAATATATAGAAGTGATGCACCGATACCATTTTTTCAAGTACAGGTATTGATACTTGCCCAAGTACTCACAGATACAAGTATTGATACATTATTGTTTATTGTCATGTGACAGTTTTTCTAAAACAATACAGACTAATGATTTCAGGACAGTGGTGGAGCGCCAGAGTCAGGTCCCAGCTGCAACTTCTGCAACCCTGGTAGTTCTCATGTAAATGCCAAGTATCGGCACTGGTATCTGAACGGGTATCTGGACATCCCTAATTTCAATATATAGTAACAAAGGAAGAAGAAGACATTCATGAAAAAAAAGTTGGAGATTCTATGTTTTCCACCCAACCAAGGCCAGCTACAGTGGTGTGACAGAGAAAGTACACCATCTTTGAATTCTATAGTTTTACGTATCCGGACATAATAATGAGGCCTGTAGAGTCCGAGATGTAACTCTTGGGGGTTTTGTAATTTCTCTGAGCATTGCATGATCTGACCTTGGGGTGAATTTGCTGGGACATCCATTCCTGGGAAGATTGGCTACTGCCTTGTTTGTTTTCCACTTGTGAAAATTCTTCCTCACTATAGAATAATTAACTTTAAATTGTTTGGAAATCACCTTCTAACCCTTCCCAGATTGATGGGCTGCAACAAATGCTTCTCTACAATCATTGCTGATGTCTTGCCTCCTTGGCATTGTGTTAACACACACCTGGATGCTCCAGACCAGCAAACCACTAAAACCTTAGCTTTTATAGAGGTGGTCACACTTGCTGATCATCAATTAATAAAGGGCATTTGACTAGCAGCACCTAGCTGCTACTTTGCTTCTTAATTCCTATGGAAGCAGTAAGGGTGTACTTAGTTTTTCGCACATAACTTTTACATTTTGGCTTTATGTTTGTAAAATAAATAATGACATGGTGTAATATATTATATCTTGATACATAAAACCATGGAATTCAAAGCGGGTGTACTTTCTTTATCACACAACTAGTATACGAGGGCAATCGGATGATTACCACATACCACACTACACAACATGAATGGAAGAATCTCCCCTGCTGGCTATTGTATACTGGCAGCGTGGCTGTCAGATATGTTGCAGTCAATGTTCAGCCGACAATTTTCTGGCCAGTTCAGCAGGAAACAGACAAATTGCCATCCGTGATTGGCCAGGTTTACATTTCTAATGGGAATTCATGTGTCTACATTCTTATGTCAGTGTACAATAGTAAGAAAGAGAGAGATCAGCAAAGATGAGTTATATTGACAAGACACATTACCTTTTTCCACGTGCAAAATGATTCACAACCTTCCTTCCAAACATTGACAGTTAAATCTCTTCACTGTAAAGCAACAAAAGTTTGTTTTCTAAACATGAAACATGAAGAAACATCTCCAATAAAAAGAAATCATTTCAATTTGAATAAATGTTCTTGTATCTCATCCACTTTCGGATCTTTGTGAATTACTATAAGGCTGTATGGCAGCGGAGGACAACTCCAGCCCTCCAGCTGTTGTGGAACTACAAGTCCCACGAGGCATTGCAAGACTGACATTTTACAGCCATGATTCCAAGAGGCAGAGGCATGATAGGACTAGTAGTTAAAGCACAGATGGAGGGCCAGAGTTGCCCACTCCTGCTATATAGAGTTTCCGGGAGGGGGGATCCCAGACACATGTAATCCCCCCCCCCCTTACCTTATCTATTTCTAGTGTACAAAGCTGTAATTCTGACATGACTAGATCCTTATCAAGATCTTTCAAGGGCAAAGGAGATGGAAGGGAACTCTCTGTAAACATCATAGAGAAAAGATAATTGGCTGGGATATCAATTCTTATTATTCAGAGTTTATATAGCACCAACAGCTAGTGGAGCGCTGTATAACATTTCCATCTGATGGCTGCCTGTTCATGATATGTGGAGTGTTCAGTTCATATTCTTATCTTACATATCCATTGATAAGATATACATTTCAGCCATATCTGTCAGCATTCACAACGCCCCCAGAAATCGCTCTTCCTGCTTGTGTTATTGGCTCACTGCTTTCCCCAGAAGTCTGCAAGTCACATGTCACGCATTCCCTGCAATGAGCACCATTTTTGGCAAGATGCGCTCTATGTGCTCATTCCCACAGGCATGTGGATTCCATACCTACAAATGGGCCCTTAGGCAGTGATGTCACAAGAGGGGTGCGGGGGAGGAGGTGTGACCTGCACTGGGTGACACCATTTGAGGAGGTGATACCAAAATGACTGACAGTCATTTTACCCCCTCTTTAAAGTCGGGCACTGAGTCATGGATTGAGAGCTCAACAGCTGCACAATAGAGGTGGGGGGCACCCGGTGGCATACCTGATGCCGCTGGGTCTATGCCCCCTCCTCTCTTTGCCATGAAGTACATAACCACATGTGCATGATGATGTCACACCAAGGACGTCACAACGCATGCGTGGTGGCCGCACTGGGTAACAATCACCCCGGTGCCACTGCTGCCCTTAGGGCTCATTTACACAGGCTCACGGATTCCATACATCCATGCAGGGGGTCGTGTTTATGCACCCGGGAGGCACGGCTGTTCCAGGCAGTTGTCTGTTATCAATGATGGGCTGTGGCTACACGGAACTTCACACACATCCCAGTGTTTACATGCATACAGGGACTGGCACATGGCTCTAGACGTGTTCAGAGCCGTGCATTCATTCCTGCATGGATGTAAATACTGGGATGTGTGTGAACATCTGTGCAGCCCCAGCCTGTCATTGATAACAGACAACTGCATGGAACACACATGCCTCCCTGGGTGCATAAACACAACCCCCTGCATGAATGTACAGTATCCGTGTGCCCGTGTAAGTGAGCTCTAAGCACCCATTTATATCTGTGTGGTGCGTTAAGTCATGGTATGCCATGCCCTACCATGCATTGGCAGCCTATTTCTTTGAATGTTTAGATCCAAATATTCTGGGATCTCAATGCTCATTCAAACGTCCAAAAGTGCCAAGGTTTTTCCAGCAAGCTCACAGGCTCTGGTAAGGCGGCTCCAACAGCACACCAGGCCTCCCTTACTAGGATACCCGGGAGACGCTTAGAGGGTAATCATATACTGAATGGGATCCAGACCAAATAGGTAAAACAGTCCAAAGAGTCTTAATTATTCACTCAAAGAGGGAAAACATCCAACACGTTTCGGAGGCAATAACACTCCCCCTTCATCAGGGTTTAAAATAAAAATATGAGGACTTAAAAAAATCATAGAACTGAACCAAAGGAATCTCTTAATTGGTGTGGCATGAATTCTTCTTTTGGACTATAATTACATGAAGTAATTAGCAAAAGTTGCTTTGAGGTTTTAAGACTGCACGTTATTATTTCAAAAAAGAGAGCGCTGTGGCCCTGAAATGCATTGGAGGTTTTTGTCTTTGTGTTTGAATAGTTAAAGTAGTATTAAACTCTGAAACCTTTTCCAATAATAAATCAAGATCAAACAAATATACAATGCCCAGCACAGTATTTCTTACACACTCATCCAAGCACTTATAGTCATCATCTTTCTGAACAGCTCCAACTCTCTAAACTCAGCTTCCCTGAACTTCCTGTCCAGTACAAGATCACAAGGGACAGAGCAGTCACCAAAAGCTGCCCATCTACTACCTTGGAGAAGGGAGCAGGGGATTTGATTGCCTTAGGGCCCGTTCACACCATATGCAGTGTGTCCAGTGTCACATTGCATGGCAGCCGGCTCACTTTTTTGTGGGGCAGGAGGGGGCATGGCAGGCCATTAAAGTGAATGGCACCATAGCCACGCCCTCCAGACGCAATGCGATCAGCTGCACGGGATCGCAAGGCACATTATGCCATGCTTGCAGCATTTTGATCGGACCGCAGGCATAATGTGCAGCCGATCGCATTGCGGCTGGAGAGCGTGGCTACAGTGTCATTCATTTCAATGGCCCGCCACGACCCCTCCAGCACTACAAAAAAGTGAGCCGGCCTCAATGTGATGCAGTGCGTTCTGGCTAGAATCGGGCCGGAATGCACTGCATCTGGTGTACGGGTCCCCTTACTGTGCAGCTTACTAGCAGACACCAGGGTGGACCCATAGGTCCCTGCAAGGAAAAGGAGCCACCCTAAAACAGGATATCAGGCCCAGTGGTCAGGGGACCAGCTGATTCTGCAGGAAACTAAAACTTTAAAACATCAAGAAGCAGCGTCCATTGTAAGTGATTTTCATCAGCGTTTGAAATAGCTTAAAATCCTTTAGGCTTTACCATTATTTTAAAGACTCTTTAGACTTTTTTACCAGTTTTGGCCTGATGTCCATTCATTAAATGTTTACAGTTGTTTGAGTGGGCTGCCTAAAGCACCAGAACCTACACAAAAAAACGCATGTGCCATTTTTAGATGACCTCTGTGTCTTCTGACGAGGGAGCATGAAGCCGGCTTCCCAGCCAATCAGAATGCCGGGCCCTGTGTCATTACACGGCGCCCGGCTTCCTAATTGGCCACCTTCCCGACCAATCAAGAAACCAGGGCAGCGTTTCTTGATTGGTCGGGAAGTTGGCTCCATGCTCTCTCATTACAAGTGACGAGAGAGCATGGAGCCGCTTCCCGACCAATCAGGAAACCGGGCAGCATGTAATGACGCGCTGGCCGGCGTCCTGATACAGGAAGTATCGGGCTAGGCATCGGAGCATTTGGGCGAGTACGGGTACTTGCCCAAATACTCAGTATCGGCACCGATATCGATACTAGTATCAGTATCGGTGCATCCCTAGTTTAAAGGTATGCCCCCGGGTCCCTTCCTCTCTCATACAGCTGTTGGGCTCTCAGTCCATGACCGAGTGCCCGACCTTTCAGAGGGGTGAACACCAAAATGACTGTCAGTCATTATGGTGTCACTCCCTCTGATGATGTCACCCGGTGCAGGCCACACCCTGCCGAGTGATGCCACTGTGGAGCACTGTGGAGTGACGTCACTGTATGTGTAGTACATTAATAAATCTGTAACTGGAGGTCTGTATCTCTGTACAGACCTGAGGCTGGGGGAATAGTCTGCAGGAGCCTGTGCACTGCGCCTGCCATACTCTGATCACAGCAGAAAGACTCATAGAACTCAATAGAGCACAGGTGGGGAGTCGTCACTGTATGTGTAGTCCATTAATAACTCTGTAACTGGAGGTCTGCAGCTCCATATAGACCTGAGGCTGGGGGAAATAGTCTGCAGGAGCCTGTGCACTGCACCTGCCATACACTGATCACAGCAGAGAGACTCATAGAACTCAATGGAGCACAAGGGGAGTGACGTCACTGTATATGTAGTCCATTAATAACTCTGTAACTGGAGGTCCATAGCTCCATACAGACCTGAGGCTGGGGGGAATAGTCTGCAGGGCCTGTGCACTGTGCCTGCCATTCACTGATCACCGCATGGAACTCAATGGAGCACAAGTGGAGTGACATCACTGTATGTGTAGTCCATTAATAACTCCGTAACCGAAGGTCCGTATCTCAGAACAGACCTGAGGCTGGGAGGAATAGTCTACAGGAGCCTGTGCACTGAACCTGCCATTCACTGATCGCGGTTGCAATGCTCTGCAGGATCCAATGCAAGAAAAAAGTATCAAATGCACATTTGTTTCTTTCATCAATTTGGGTGTATTTACTAATTTTGCAACAAAGGCAATCTGCCTTTATAAATTGACTGGAGAATTGTCAGCCGGACAGTGACTGCGTCCCATCAGATGTTCGGGTGCTGCGGCTGCTTGAATACAATAGGTGGCAGAGGGAATTCTTGTATCCATGCTGTTAGCACAGATCGGGGGAATTGACTGAGCTTCAGATGATTGAAATCGAGCCGTGTATGGCTCCACTTACCCGGAAGTCGGAGGTCTTCCAGATCTTATCTCCCCATGACACATGCATGGGAAGTATTGATGGCAATGACATGAATGAGCTGCCAAAATAACTCTATGGCCCCTCCCCCTCCTGGCCCTTTACTGTCAACAACCCTTAACTCCTGCACTGCCAGTGACCATGCACAAGTCGCTGCAAGTGTTTTCTATACTGCTAGACTTATGCCTGCTGCTATGACATTATGGAAAGTTCTGATGTGTGCACACTGCTCATGTTACCTGCACTCAGTTAGTTTGGTGACACCATGTCAATGGCAGGTATTCTCAGAGCAGGAGAAGGCGGGAGGGGGGAAGCCGGATCTCGGTCTCTGTGTGGCACCCGGGCAGCACTGTTCCAGCCGAGGTCAGCTCATTGTCCCCGATCTCTTCTGCTGTGTATGTCTCAGCGCGGGGCCCGGGTCTCCTTCAGATGGACACAGCGAGAAATGACAGCCGCAGGCAACCAGCAGGTAGCGCCAGACTCCCTACAAGAGCAACACGCATATTACAGTGCATGGTGCACGCCCACAACTCAGACGGCGTTTTTTTGTAAGTGCTTTATTGATATGCGAACAGTACAGTAACAGGCAGAGCTATATCAAGCTGTGTCCCATGTATAGACGATACAATTGGGGAAAGTTCTCAAAACTGGAGCAGTTGCCCATAGCAACCAATCATCTTCTCTCTTCAGTTAAGCTTTGAATATGAATGAGAGACGCTGATTTGTTAGTCATTTGAGGGGAATTCATAAAAACTGGGACAGAATCTGGAGCAGTTGCCATGGCAACCTATCAGCTTCTCGTTTTAGTTCATTCAATTAAGCTTTAAAAATGAAACAGAGAAGCGGATTCCAGTTTTTATTAATAACCCTCAATGATGTTCTTTTTTTTTTTTCTTACCTTTCATTGCTAGTAAACAGAAACATGTTAACCACACCACCCAACTATAGAGCATGACAACGAGGGACATCTTTGTGGTGGATGGGTGCAGGGCTGTCCCTATGGTATGGTTGATATTCTGGGGGGCGTGTGCTGACAGGGAACAACTGTTGTGCTGGAGGGGCAGAGGACATCAGGCTGCACTAGGGTCAGCAGCTCTGTCTAGGGTCCCACCCAGCTCACTGACATCACTAGTTGCCAGATGCTTGGTGGTGGGACACAAGCCAGAGAGTCCACTCAGCTCTTGACAACCAGTGACATCAGTGAGCTAGAAAGGATGCCAGAGAGAGCGTCACAGGTTGCTAAGACCTCTTTATCTGGGACACTGGCCCACACACCAGCTGACTTCCAAGAACCAATTGTAAGTATTCCTTAGAAGAATGCACAGGCCTACAGATGCAAAAAGCTTTATTTCATGTGCATATGCAAACACAGAGGCCAGAAAGCTTCTCCAAGAGGTTTATGAAACCAAAGGATACTGTATATGAACTTGCTTGAAGCTTTGAGGCCAGCTCTTGGAGAAGGGGAAGAAAAAAAATCTGTAAATCTGCTCCATTTGCCTATGTAACCCATGGATCATGGGGGGGGGGGCATACAGCAGAAGGGAAAGACTTCACTGGGTAGCGGCCATTCTACAACAGAGTGGGAATTTAATTTTAGATACCTCCCATTACAGAAGCTTGCTGGATGGCCATACTCCTTCTCGCTTCCCAGACAGGACCTCACTAGATCAGACTCGCCTCTAAAGCCTTTGTAGTACAAGAAGCACATTACCCACACCTCTGAAGGCCTTCCCTGAGAGAGCAGTTTAAAGATGATTTCACTATAAGAGCTTTCACATCATCAGTTTTTACCCTTTAGGCCACTTAGGACCATGTCAGACAGGCAATTCTGCTGCTGGTGACACATTAGCAGAATCATAGAGAAGAGGCTTCCACTTACCCTAATGGAATATTTCCCTTCCCAGCCTGGAACACTGCCGATTCTCACTTGTTAGCAAAGGCAGGAAGTAAATGTTCTGCAAGTGTAAGTATTTCAAAATGACAGCATTTTACACCTGGCATGTCTGTTATTATCAATCATCATACATAGAGGGATGCATTGGTAGAATTAGATTTGTGAATGTAAAGTTCTGCTTTACGGACTCCCTATAGTTATTTATATATTGATATAAAATAGGTGCTAGTGTGTTTTAAAACAGCAGTTCTCATTTAAAATGTATGTAAACCCTAACAATGAACTCTTACATTGTTCTCTTTTACTCTGTTAAATATACCATTGAAAGTGTTTTGCTATAAGTTTTAATAAGTGCAAAAGAAAATCCGTTGATCATGCCAGAGGTCCAGTGCTTCCACATGCACTCTGTAGTCTTATATCAAACATTATCATATCCGCGTACTACAGCTCTGTGGACTACAGAATACTTCCTTACTATGTTAAGAAGCCAATATATGGTGCTCTATAATCCTGTCCTAGGGTGGCAACCAGGGGCCGGATTTACTCTCTGCTGCCCCAATGCCAGGTTCCTCAATGCCCCCCCCCGTATGCAGGCTGCATACAAGTGATCTTGGCAACATCCTCGAGATCACTTATACAGAACAAGCGGTGGCTTCCCTGCTGTACATTTAGCCCTGCTTGCCCAAAGCAGGGCTAAAGGTAGAAAACAACTACCCGCCCAGCACCCAGAAAGGCATCGGGAGATAGGCATTCCACACCCCTGCTACCCCGAAGCCAGGTTGGCCTTGGGGGAAATCCGGCCCTGGTGGCCACACTGCTACTCCATATATGTGTTCAATAAACGTTAAAAACCTGTGTCAATCTTGCCAGATGTCCAGTGCACTCTCCAGTCTTGTATCAAGCATTTTAACCTCTTGTTTCTTCATTGACTTCCATTAGCGCAGATTAATTGACTACCATTGATATTAGCCCTGTCTGGATCAACTCTTCTTATGGGCAAGCGGACTGGAGGTGCTCTGTAATCCTATCCTACGGTGAAACACTCCTCCTCCTCCTCCTCCATAGATACAGTATGGTGAGCGAGTATGGTACTGGCTGTATCATTGGGTAAAAATTTGGGACATTCAAGGTAAGCTGCAATATATGACAATTTGTTTTTGGGTTTAGATACACTTTACATTATGAATTGGCCTGAAACAGTATTAGATAATGGACTTGTAAATCACACATACAAAACACAATGAAAAGGATAGACAACACTTTTAATATTTTTCTCTTATATATTCTCAATTTAACACATTTAAATAGATGAATGATTAAGTACAGGAATACTTGGGCGTGAGAAGGTCATGGAAAAGGTACATAGTACCAAAACAGCTATTACACAGCCTCCTTGTTTTGTATATTACCGGACAATACATAAGGTAGTTTTAACAATCGCAGCTTAAGAATGTTATCTAGATAATCAATGATGTCTCCGTTTCCGGAAACATTTCATAATATTACATAAAGTGATTCATAGGGAAAAGGGGGGAAAAAAAGAAAGCATATAAAAAAAAACATAGAAACAAGCTCCCCAAGTTGCCTCTTCTCTGGAGAGTGTATCCTCACTACTAAAACTACAGCATATAACGGAGTGTTGCATTAAGAGCATTGCTCATGTCCTGAATCACTATGGAGTCTTTTGGTGTGCCGTGCTCTCTATGTACTTTGTAGAAGTCCTTTATAGCACTTCAGTGTTTGAGATGTCCAGCAGCTGAGTTCAAGCCATCTGGGTCTGTGTCCATCCACAAATAAAAGCATTACAAGCTGCTCCTCCGAAATGCAATCAGTTTTCCAAAAAAGGGAATTGCGTTTTAAATATAAAAAAGACCTATAAACAGTTCATTCCTTACCCAGCCTTCAATTACTCAGAGTATGTGCAAGCATCACATATCCACCCTTCACAATAGGAAGGACCGCTTCGCCATCAGTAATTGCCAGGAACATTTTGCCAAAAGAAAAGACAATGTTGTGAAACAGACCAAAGGAATTGCATCTCCCCAATGTTGTAGGTCCACCTATTTATGAGGTTTCCAGGAGATTATAAAATAACAATGCCATTTATAGTTCCTGGAAGGCCTAGATCTGCTTTGCAGGCTACACAAGTATCTCTATCTGCAGATGGGATTCCTAGGAATAGTCAATGTTTTGGACAATGAGATATATACTGAATGAACCATGTCGTATTCGGCCAAGTTGAAAGCTCTGTGGCAGCCGTTATGAAAATGACTAGTACTTAGTGCCCCACTAACAGCATCGTATTGGGGACCATCACCTTCTAAACCAAACTGTAACCTTTTTGCAGCCGACAGTACCAGCAGGAGTACAATGCAGACTTTTGTGGGCTGGAAGTGTATAATGTATATCAGTCATTGCTGCACTGTAATACATATATCTGTTCCCCAAAGTTTACATTTAAAGTGCACCTGTCAGCCATTGAAACATTTAAAAAGTTAAAGCCTTGCCAAACACATTTAATAGCCGTAAGGACAGTATCAATGGACAGGGAGTGGCAGATTAGCCTAGAAGATCGGGAAGTCATGCATCTAGCAACTAAAAAGAGAGGCACACAACGCAGGGTTTTCTGGCTAATAATGGTAATCTGATCTTAGGCTGGCCATACACTCTTCTAGTTTTCTCCGTTCAACCTACGGGCTGAATGAAAAAAATAGAAGAGATTCCTCCATCAATGCTTACAATTCTGACAGCAGCCTCCACCCTCATTGGCTGACGGCTCTGTTTGTTTGAAGTTTTCCCGACCGCCTCCTTCAAAAATCAGCTGATCGAGGGCCGCCGGCCGAAAGTATGCCGACAGCGGCCGTCACTGTGCGACTTACTGTATAGTGTATGGCCACCTTTAGACCGAACCTTTACATTTAAAAGTTGAAAAGCGCCGCCAGGTTCACTATCACTTAAAATCTACTCCTAAGTAGCAACTTGTGCGAGGTGAATTTACATAGAGCCTGCATGCAGAAACAGAGGCTAGCATAATCGTTGACCTGTGATGTAGATATAAGCACTACTATTAGTAATGGTAGATGTATTCTATTACAATGCGTTCAATTACACATCAATCATTCTCCTTTCTTTGGAACCAGGTTGTTCTTATTCAATGAAAAGAAAAATAAATTCAGGCCTTAAAAGTTTTTGAAAAGTGTCAAAAAAAGGCAAGTCTCTGTGTTACCCCGTTCATTCTTTTCTTTTCTAACCCATTTTATGAAAAGGACATGTAGAACCTTATTGGCTGCCACTGAAAACACAGCTACTTTCATTTCAGAATCTTTTCTAGATGATAGTGTGAAAACCTTTCACAGAAAAATAATCTGATCAAATCTGATAGATGGCTGTAGGAAACACCTCCACTGGGTTTTCTCCAATGATATACAGTTATACACCTAGTACTAATGTGATAATGAAAACTTAGAGAATGGACGTAGCAAACTTATATTCCATTTTAAAACCTGATTAAGACCACATAAATCTTCAATTTGTCAAGTATCTGCATCCACCCATAGGCAGAGAGGTCAGTATTCACACATATATCTGTCGCCTTCATATTGGTAAGTGCTCCGCACATAACTTCAAGGTATAGGAAATTTCTTCCACTATGGTCAGGTTACCAGGATACATCAGCTCCTTTCACTCTTCATACGTGTCTTGTTCCAGAAGGCTGCATCTTCTCCGATATTTGTTTCATTGCTTTGTATGATTTCCTCAAGTAGAATACCGTGCCTTTAAGTGCAGGAAATAGATTCACTACAGACAGGAAATCAGGAAAAGCCAGGGAACTGATCTCAGATCTGTAGTGAGAAGAAAAAAAAAATGTGTACACACAAAATGCATCACAATTTGTTTTTAAAAATAGCCAATAAATCAGCCAATAAATGTGTGGCACAATTATACAAGTGAGACCATAACAGTCTTGCACAGCAATAATAAACCTATATAGGTAAAAGTGACTCTGTCGTGAGTAAAGTAGGAGGGCAGCCATTTCTTCTGAAAATGCTAGTTGCCCGGCTGTGTAACGGGTACTTTTGAGTGACAGACCTCTAGCTAGCAAGCAAGCTGTAAAGGAATGTTGGGAAGTGGCAGAGTTATTTTTTATACTTGTCCTTGGTCAGCTACTTGGACCATACTAAAGCTCATTATCAGATACTTTATTCTCTCCAACATTAAAACAGAAACATTTTCACACTTTCTGACTACAGCAGGTTAGGGCATCTACTAACTGTGGAGATATACTTCTTCTACATTTACTACAGGGTTTGATTTTGATTACCCAATTTTATATACATGTATAGAAGGAAGATCACCAGCACCCAGAAGATTTTTTGAAATCCTTGTGTACATTTGTGAAACAGCATTACATATATCTTTTAGCCAACGTTTCAAGGCCACACAGGGTCCCTTCATCAGGGTGACGTAGTGTCACTGTCACCCTGATGAAGGGACCCTGCGTAGCCCCGAAACGTTAGCTATTGGATTTATGTGACGCGGTTTCACAAAATCTTCTGAGTGCTGGTGATCTTCCATCTATACAAGTTTGACGTGCACTGCGCCATCCGTGATCATCACTGCAAGCACCACTTTTAAAATAAAGGTTGTGAAGGTTGTAAGGAGTGCAAGGGACACATCTGTACACTACTCTTTTGTATACAGACTTGTAAATGTGCCCTCTAAAAGGTTATCTGTACATCAGGTAACACGAGTCCCTCCAGAATTGTTTCTGGAAGCTTGCAAGTTTAATACTTCCATGACAATGTGTTTGCAGTCTCCAGAACACCACCTGCCAATTTCCCATGGTAAATTTGAAATGTTCGCATACGGAATCTCATACTAACCTTATGTTAGAGCGTATGTCACTACGATTAAAAAAAAAAAAAAAAAAAAAACAGCGAGTACATCTTTTCAATGGATGCACCTTTCCCCATAAACACCCGCAAGTATAGAAAATACCTGTTGATCTGCCAGAAATTCTCATCTCCATTTGCCGTTATGGGCTGCATTTTGTGGACTGAGTGGTGTCAGCCTTACCCAGTTTTCTTTTGCTAAACCACCTATACCCACCCGCTCTTCTAATCTGTACACTAACTTTTCTGTACTCCACAATAGATAAAGTAGCTACCACTCCAAGCTGGCTCCTGTGATCGACTACAATCTCCTGTTTTGTTTACTAACTTGTATTGAGATTGTAATCCATCACGAGAGCGAACTTGGAGTGGTGACTACTTTACAACACACACAGGGACCATGGGGTACAAAAGTAGTCACCCTCCAGAAAGAAGGACAGTGTCAGCACCAATTGAGAGATGATTTCAGGATCTACAGCTGAGTTATACAAATAAGATACATTGTTGTTAATAGTTAAGGTACTTGAATGGACTTTTAGACTTTGCTCATCTATTTTCCCCACTATGGGGATACAAGCCTTAGTTAGCAATGGCATGATAAATATTCATTTCATGTTCTTCATAATATTAAGAAACTGAACTAAAATCATGATTTTGTATTGCTTTAGAAAAAATGTGACCTGACACTTTAAGAAAAAGTATTGGTAATTGGTATCGGCGAGTACTTGAAAAAAAGTCGGTCTTAAAAAAGTGGTATCTGAGCATCCCTACTGACAACCCATGCAAATCGATTGTCATCTCTTTGCAATCTCTCTCAACTACAAATGAATGAAACCGTGTAAATACAAATATAATGCCACTTTTTATCTGTCTGAGTATGAACAGTTTTCATATACAGCAACTGCTGGAATAGCTGCTGTATTTACACAGCAACTCTTGGCTGTCATTTTCATAGCCATGAATTACCAGCAAATGAGAGGCAGTGGGGCAGAATGGATGGGAATCCCCTTTTAAAGACAATATTACAACAGTTGGCACTAACCTTAGTACATTTGTCAGGTGGTGGATTCCACTGTGCCTGCTGCATGACATCATTAACAATCATTTTTGCTATTTTCCAGGCCATTTCTTCTTTAGCATAGTAAAGGTGCAGTTATGTTTTAGCTTGGTATGATCGTGATTTGCAAGCTTACACTGAAGAAAAACACTGATGGACATTTGCAGACTGCAGGACCCCAAGTTGGTCTAAAGCAGGGGTAGACAAACTCCGGCCCTCCAGCTGTGGTGAAACTACAAATCCCATGATGCATCTCTCTCCAGGAGTTATGTCTGTGGCTGTGAGAATCTTGCAATGCCTCATGGGATTTGTAGTTCTACCACAGCTGGAGGGCCGGAGTTTGGCTACCCCCTGTTCTAAAGCTATGTGGGGATAAAAAGCCTAGGACAGGCAGACTGTGTGTGCGGTATACATTTCCATGTAGAATATCTATGGAGTGCACTTCATTTTATACCATCAGCCCACGTGGGAAACATAGATGCATCATTTGACAATTTCATCACCAATTTGTCATACTGGCAGGGGAAGAAGTTTACATAGCTACGTGGAGGTCTATTTCACAAATGCAGTAACAACAAAACACTCTGGCTGTTCTGAGGAAACCAAAAAAACATCAATAGCCTCAAGTCAATCCTCTATTCAATGCATGAGAATATTCACCTCATCTGTACTTCCTTGTACCCATTTCTTCATAGCTTGTGAGAACATTGAACCTAGACAAAGAAGAAATACTGTTATTCTGGGCCATCATTTTTTGCCATAATGCTAGGTTCCTGGCTGTTCTACCAATCCAGTCATATCCATGTTCAAGTGTTCTGACTTACTGCATGCTTTTACAAGACCAGTAACAAAATACTGAGGACAGTGGTGGCAGCAACTAGCATAATTAGAAGGATGGCAGGATCCAAATGTCACCAAGTATGGGCATCCTTTCATTATAAACAATTGAAAGGTTTAGCAAACCCAAAACATGATATTTCACTGGTAGGGTCTGGAGTTGTGGGTAGCTGCTACCCTCCAATATTTCCCCAGGGACTCCAGAGACAAGAACGGCCCCCAATAGATTTTTACTTAATTTCCTCCCACCCTGTAGACTCTCTTCTCCTGATACTATATTAATAACATAAAAAAACAAATCTTAGAGCGAACATAATCCCTTGTAAGGCATTATCTACATGGACCTGCAAAGTCATACAGCATGCTTATCTGTACAGAAACCTACTCCCGGGAGTAATAGCTGTTGTGTGCACCTGAATTATAGGATACGGCTACACACTGATCTGTACAGGTATAGATGCACGCCCCTGGACGCAAACTATCTGAATCCAGGGGCATCCATCCGTACCTGTAAGGATATTCATGCTCGGATCTGCGTTTACCAAGCACGTAGCCACACCCTGTCATTGAGCTGTACAGGCTACTGCACGCAACACATGTTTCTCCCAGGCCCAGGTTTCTGCACAGTTGCGAATGAGGCCTAATTGTCAATATACTGCAGGTATGGAGGCCTGGGAACTCAAGTTCACAGATCTCTCCACCTGCAAAAAGTCAAAACTGATGGGAGGTTAAAATGTTTACAATCTATTTCCTCTTCTCCATTTTTATTTCTTTGCATTATTTGCTCTAAGGCCTTCGCATTCCAAGTTTTACACAAAAAGAGGACCAAAATGCACCATTCTTCCAAATATGCAGGATAATGGATCACTTTAGTTCTGGAATGCAACTGTCATCTCACTGAATTATTAGTGTTTCCGTATAAGCAAAGTGTTCGGTGATGTAGTTGTGAAAGTGGCAAACATTCACCTTTGGATTTTTTCACATCGGGCTCAGGTTCAGACTCTCGGATGAACTGACCCAGATCACTAACTGTCCCAAAAGTCATTTTGCTGCAAGAAAAAAAAAAACCTTGAAAGTATAAATTATAGAACTATCTTATAGCCAATATCATTGAAATGTATTCAGTTTACCAGGAATGGTCGCTTTCGCTCAGCAATACTGGAGCTCAGATAAGCATGCTTACCCTGCATATGTTCGTTGATAAAGTGACTCAGGATCCAAGCTTGCAGCATCAACAATTATTGCTTCATCAAAATTTTTCAGAATTTTTACATTGCTTTTCTTGACATTAACCTGAAATTATATAATATATGTTAGTATCATCCATAAAAAGATACAGCTAAACTGACTCACAGCAGGGTTCTTAGGTGTAGATGGCAACGGCCTATTTACAGGTTGTTTGCTTTACTGCATGGTTTACTCCATGAAAATGCCTTTTAGAGAAATCCCAGTTATTACCATGCAGGCAGTTTACATAAAAACGTTTTCAGCAATCCCTGTATCTCGGCATGTGCTATAAAAATTCTCCCTACTGTCATACACCTAATCACCCAAATGTGTTCCATTATGCCATTATCAAATAGAAATCATTATTTAAACCCTACTGGCACATCCACCATACATCTCTCCACCTTCATATTACCCATGTGAGTTTTGAAGCCTTTCTGTACAACTCTGAGGCCTGAATGAGCCATTTTCTTTATATTCTATTCCTTCTTAACTGTGTATTGTCCTGTTACTCTCATCCTTGTAACTAAACTGCAAAATTTCAATAGAAATAATGGAAAAGGAATACTTCTCCTTAGTCTTATATAATGTATACAATTCTGGAATTTAATTGTTCCTTCCTAGCGTAGTGAAGCAGAAATTATAAAGGTTTCCTGTGAGAGAATAAGTAATGTATTAAACTAAGTTTTAACACTATTCCTTTTGGCTCAATGTTACTTTCGCTTGTTCACTCATTTCATGTTTTACTATATTACACATTTGCTTCCTATGTATTTTTCACTACTAAAAGACTGACACTCTGACTTCTGTCTTATCCGTATGAAGAGAAAAATGTCAGTCAGAATGTAAAAAAGAAAAAAAAAATTATTAAAGCAAAACTAGTCATACAAGTAGCTTTGGTGTATAAGTTAGCAAATGTGCTAGTGTAAAGAAAAGCTGTACTGAGAGAATACACAAGCTGCCATTGTTGGCCTCTACTTCTGAAAATGCAAGCTACCATGTTGATCCAATTGGCTTTAATAATTCTGTAGTCGCTGAACCAGAACAAGTATTCCAATTTCTTTCTAACATCAATGCCAGCAAAATGTTCAGCGACTCAGAAAGTAGGGAAGCCAGAGACAGTCACGTATGTTGTATTTTCAAGAGGTTAGCATTGGTAGCCAGCCATTCTCTCAGTACAGGTTTCTTTTAAACCCGTAACTGTTTAATCATTATGAGGCTTGTTCATTACTTACATAGTATGGACTTTAAAGGAGAACTATGAGGTGAGTGAAAATCACTCATCCTTATAGTTCAGCCAACGTGTGACAATGAAACTGTCACACGACAGCTCAATAGATCGGGAAGTGAGCGAACACATACCGTCGCTCGCTCACTTCTCGATCATCTCCCTGCAGAGAGCCGTGACTGCCAGTCACGGCTCCCTGCAGAGATTCCCCCTCCCCTCTAGCGCTGACTGGAGGAGCGAAAGGGGGAGAGGGCTGGCACAGCTGGCTCTGCTTCTAGATAGGCAGAGCCCGCTGTCACAGGTGCAGCGGTCTCAGTATAACTCGACCTGTAGCTCGCGATATACTGAGCTTTGGGTCACGGAAGGAAGCTTGTATATGTCCTCCCGTGACCCTTAAGAGAACTTTAGGGAAAAACACTTACCCCATAGTTCTCTTTTAAATGGTAGCTGGCACTATCCTAAACTAAAGCTAAATAATCCGAAATTCAATCTGTGCATCTTCCTGCAAACAACATGCAGTGCCACAAAATGAGATTTAAAAATCATCTAAGTCGGTTGGAAAATTATCAACCGAAGAAAGACTGTATACTACTGGATAGAGTCACTGTTCGGCAGGGCCACTATATTTCAGGCAGCTGTGGGAGCCACAGCTGCCATAATACAATAGCCGGTAGTGGAGATGCCTCTATGTACGCTGAGTAAAGGAAATGGAGTCATGTATATATAATACGATGCAGTAAGGAAAATGGTATGCTGTAGGCCGCAGTAGCTGAACAGCAACACAAACAGGTAGAATCAGTGAATCAAATAAAAGATGGTTGGTTGACACACATCCCTGCCTTTTGCATGACATGATTAAGGTTAACCTGTCATGTCTTATAACCAACAGGAGAATATAGTTGCAGACACATTTTGCTGAAGTGGCCCGAGATGACTAAGCAACCTAGATACAAACCAGCCACAGGTGAATGATTGTGCTGAATGCTCCTAAATGGTAAATGGTTCTTAAAATGTATAAAGACATGGAAGGTTTCCTTTAAATAAAGCTCTATATCAACATTACTGTTAAGCAGCACCTGAGAGCTGGAGTTCTCAGAGGAGCCTGAATATGGCTCATGGTTGGGTGTGCCTTGACTCCCTTGGCTGGCATTGCCCGCTGCACTCCAACTATAGTCTTCCCCTCGAACTGAGTGGATCAGATCATTCAAGTACTTGTAATACAGATTGCTGGAGAGAAAACCAGGCAAGAAGACCTGAAATAAAGAATACATTTGTGTATATAGCATGTTAACTTTATCTATATGCAGAAAAAGACGGACACATATACATAAACCTGCAGAGAGCTGAACATTTCTTCACAGTTCAGTCAAAAAGATGCTCAAAACCTGGCCAGTACCAGTACTATTATTACTGATTGCCCATTCTGTGCAGTGATTGGCCTGCAAGGGGAAACCTTGCCAACACGTCACTGCCATTGTACTGGGAGAAGCCAGTCATGTTCCACATGCAAAGGTCCCCTTCAGTTACAACAGTGGCCTATGAAGTGCATGGCAATGGGTGAAGTTTGAACGAGAGGCAGGAGATAAGGGTTTACTTCACAAGGAGCATTGAAAACAAGGTATCCATCTCCTCCTATACAGCCCAAGCTCCATGTTTGGTTTAGGTGGTTAGTAAAAAAAATCTGCTGTACAAAATCCTACCCTATTTTCCAAGAAAGGCACTAAAATTATGGGGAAGTGTCAGAGAGGAGGAGACTCCATTCAACTTTTTAGTACTTTGCCTCCTGGGGGGTGGACCTTCCATCCCAGTGTCTTGTGTGACAGGACAGATACAGAAAAGTGCTGCTAAGTGTTTAGATTTCATCTTTGATATCAAAATTAGCACACAGTAATGTGTTTTTTAAATTAAAGGCTTGACCTGAGGGAAAACACAGCTAAAAGCAGTCTGCTATTCACATCAGCACTGCATCTCTCTGCTTCAATTTTCATGAAACTGTTTTCTTTTTCCGCCACCTCGATATTCATGTTTCCTCTTACTGAATAAAAAAAAAATCTTTTTCATAAACCCCTTTTAAAATCAATCCTGAAGACAGTATAATCAGATGAGTTGTGACTGCACAAGTATTCTATGAAAACAGACTTTTTTTAAAAAGATACTGGTGGAAAGACACGTGCTCCATTGAACAAACAAAACTATTTGAATGCGTGCCATGTGACCTCACCGTCTCCATAGTAGTCCAAGCCTGACGCAACGGAGTGGTAAAGCAGTTTGGGAGCGGGCCACCCTCCCGGCAGATGTTGGACTCTATTTCCGGACGCACAAAGTCATCAAAGCCTAAAGGGTGTGTTGCTTGCAGTGAAAAATATCTATAAGAGTATAATGAAAAATGTTTCTAATCACTCAGATTCACAGACCTTCAGCTTGTAAAACATTTCATGCACATGCTGGTAGGGTATAGCAGTACTCCTACTCGCAGACAAATATCCTTTCTAGAATAACAGAAATTGGAACTGCATCTTATATAACCAACACTTACTTATCATAGAGGATCATAGCATCGTTCTGTGCCTCCTGTCCATCATACTGGCCATTCTTAGCTGCAAGTTGAGACTGGAAGTTGTCAGCAGCCAACCAGAACTGCAATATGTTAACCGCATCCTCTTTTTCCATGTACTGCAAACATAAAAAAACACCAATACTTTAATTATTACTTCACAGAATCTCATAATTTTTTTAGAACTGACATATAGTAAATGCATACTAATATCTGCAGAGTTAGGTCAGTTGCATCATAGAAAGTAACCAATTATTGATGCATGATGACTTCTCCAAGCAATCGTCTGTTGATATGCTAAATTGAGGCTGGGTTCACCCCATTTTCAGGACCAGATCTGGAACATAGTGCATTGCATTTTTGCCGCGATTGGAATTTAGCTTAAAATGGTCTTACGGGTGCGTTCCAGACCAGACAAAATAGGACAAGCAGTATTTTTCTGGCCTGGTCTCGAACGGACTGCACTGGTAGGAACAGAGGCCAGAAATAGCATAGGGATACATTGGGATGCATTTTGGGTCCGGAGGTAATCTGGATGTGGTGTGAATGGACCCTTAGTGTTAGCGACTGGTGATTGGTGCAGCGTAACTTCTAAAATCAACTGGACTTATTTAATCAGGCAATGCAAGCAGCAGAGATGTTGTGCAAAGTACAGTGATAGCAATAAACTTTGAGATTACCAACAAGTCAGTAAAGAGATGTGTTGGGTGCTATACGCTATTCACAGCATCATCGTCCTATACACTTACTGAAAAACAATTACTGAAAAGTGATTTGATCCAGTAAAAGGATAATGAAGGAGAACCTTGAGCTTAGAGCAAATTGCAGAAACAGCTCTGCAAATGATAAAGCCACATAGAATTGTGAAATGAGGGCTCTACCCACACTTTGGGGAGATTCCTCTCACTTCTAGTTGTTCCCTTGGGATATAAAGGGATTGTTGTCCTCCTCCAGTCAAAGTTTAGCTGGATATCCACTTTACTATGCATTTGGGCAGTACAAGTGCATTATGGGAATCTGCTGACTTAACTTGGCCATACATTTTTTATTATTTTTCTTGTTCAGTCCCGCAGGCTGGATGAGAAAAATAAAAAAGCTTGATTTTAGTGTAACTGGGAGAATTTGATTGCAGTCACTGTTCGGCAGATAATTGTCCGCCCAGCTCCTCTGACAAAGTTTCATTGTCACCTAGAGATTGAATTTCGGCTGATTCATATTGGTTTTTGATTCATGTTTAGCCACCTTTAGATAAAAGCCTGTGGTACATTTTATACAATTTACACAGACACCTAAAACCAGGGCAGTGTACATACCAGAAATCACCAGTGTTACAGGCTGCTCAGTAAAATGCCTAAAGTAGCAGAACAAGTATCATTTTTCTCTGATCCTCTACTCCCAAGCCCTGCCAAACTAGCACACGTCGGTCCCACAGAACAGTGCTGAGTGCCAATAGGTCACTGAGGCCTTGTTCACACCAAATGCAGACCAGATCCGGTCAGGTTTCTGCACACGCAGTGCAGTGGGTTGTGCCGCGTTTTTGACGCGTTTTGGATGAGTTTTTGATGTGTTTAGGGCCGGTTTTGTTTTTGTTTTTTGTTTTTAAGTTTAACATGGGCTTTCAGGCACTTGCATGCGTTTTTGATGCGTTTTAGATGCGTTCCAGAGCAGGTCCAGAGCAGGTAAAATAGGGCTTGCCGCAGTTTTTTCACCTGCTCTGGATCTGGTCTGGATCCGCACGCTGCGATGTGAACTGGAGGTCAAAATACCATAGGAATACATTGGACGCAGTTTTGATCCGGTCTGCACCTGCTCTGGTCTGGATCTGCTCCGCGCTTGGTGTGAACAAGGCCTGAGGCCCTGGGTACTGTATTTCGGTTCAGAACAGATGTCTGAAGAGAATGTACCAATCAGGTAATTTCTAGTGCTGTTATATTAGTTGTTTAACAAACACACAGATTTGTTTTCTGTCTAAATCAAACCTATATGAGCCTAATCCCAGACTGCTGAACTCATATAATGCTCTATAATCATCCCATCTGCCCAATACCGCATCTTTTATTATAACTGAAGAGGGGATGAAACCAACACAGCCAAATTAAAACTGGGTTTGTTTACATAGCAATGAGCAACGTTAATGAGAAATGATAATGAGGAATGAAACCAGCTATAAAAATTGTGTACTCTTACCTCTGAAAAGTAAAAGAGTGCTGATTCACAGAACAGTATATCTGACAGGTAAACTATTCCACTGGTCAACACTTCAATCTGATATTTACAGAAATGCTGACTGCGCAGAAATTCAGGAAAGTGCCTGTAGAACAGATAAGAACGTATTAGTAATGCTCTGAGACATTGTTCATAAACAAATACAAAAGTATCTTCACACATCTTCACAATATATTCAAAGATATATTAATGCTACAATTTGGTAATATTGGCAAAAACAATTACAGCAACCTTCTAAATGGTTTTTGTCAACTGCTTCAGTATGCAAGTTACAAAATGAAGAAAGATTGTGGTATATTCCTATTAACCCCTTCGTGACTGACGACGTACAGTGTACGTCGCCAGCATCGGGGCTGTTTAAACAGACTCCCGGCGACTTTTGCCGCCGGGACTCTGTTTAAACTTGTAGAGCCGACTGTCGGCTTTACAACAGAAGCGATCCTGGCGACTTACCTGTCGCCAGATCGCTTCTGCGTCCCGAAGAAGGGGCCGCCCCCCCCCCCGGACACCCCCGCCGTGCTTCCCGGGCTCCGTTGCCCCTCCTACGGGCCCGGGACCGGCGATCTTTGTGTCCGCGGGGAGCTGGGGAGGAGGTCGACGAACTTCCGTTCATCGATCCCCTCCCCGTTCTATGGGACCGGGAGCGATGCAGATTGCATCACTTCCGGTCCCTGGGCTGTCAGTTCTGGGCTCCTGCAGCCCAGCTATAAGCTATTGAAGTGCGATCTGCACTTCAATAGCTTATTTCCAGTGTAAAGGTGACACTGAGGGTCTTTTGGACCCCCAGCATCACCTTAAAGAGGACCTGTCACCACCATCTGCTATTACATGGGGGGGCTTGCAAGCCCCCCCATGTGATAGCAGTCAAAGTAAAGTAAAAAAAAAAAAAAAAACAGTTTTTAAAATTAAAATGAAATAAAATAAATCTAATAATAATAAAAAAAAATTTAAAAGTACCCCGCCCCCGCGAGCACGCGCGTCGCCACGTAAACACGCGTCGGGTGCGCCTACGCATGAAAACGACGAACGCGCTACACATGTTGGGTATCGCCGCGCACGCCGGAGTGAGAGCAATAATTCTAGGGCCAGTATTTTGGGGTATCTCTAAATTGATGACCTGTGGGGGCTTTTAAAGCGTCTTTTATTGACTTTTTGGGGTACTGCAGTTTTTCGCCGTTTCACGGTCGCACGCAATCTGTAAACTGGGCATGTTGGGTATCGTTTTACTCGTTGTAACCTCATCTTTTATATTTCATTAAAAAAATGGGTAATTTGTTGTGTTTTGGGGCATTTAATTAAATTTGTCACTAAATTTTGGGGTTTAATAAGGAGTTGCGCTAATATTGCGCAACATAAAAATTTTCAACTACCACCATTTTATTCTATAGGGTCTTGGCATTCAGAAAATATATAATGTTGGGGGGTTTTACGTCATTTTCAGGCCTAAAATGTGGAATATAACATGGGTGCAAAAATGGAAAAAAGGGCCTCAGTCATGAAGGGGTTAAAGCTCATCCCTGGGCAAACAAAAACCCTCCCCTCAGTGGTTCTACTCCCGCACTGCAAAGGTTGCTTGTTTTGTCTAGGGGACACTATTAAAGCTGTTTTACTTACCTTTTCCTCAGTCCCAACGGCTCCCTCCAGGGTGCTAGACTGATGCCAGAAGCCTCTTCTTCCCTTTGCTTGAGCGGTCTACGGATTGACCTGCATAGGATATGACGACGCCAAAGAACACTCCAAATCCGGAGTGGAAGGGGAGAAGTGAGCACTGACCACCACGGGAGCTGGGATCAGGCAAGTAAAACAGCTTAATTTGCATCCCCTAGAAAAAAATGAGCACTTAACCCAGGCAGTGCAAAGATAGCCCCACTGCAAGGGTCATTTTTGCCCCACTGTAAGGGTCATTTTTCCCCCCCAGAGGTGGGCTTTAAAAGGTAATTCCATGTTCTCAAGCGAATTTGAGAAAATTGAATTACTCCTACCGATCTACCCACTGCTGCTCTTACCTGTCAACAATCGTTCCTTCTCCTCTGCAGCTGCCGGTGTAACATCCATATTCCCTACACAGCAATGCAGCCCAGTGGTATGTATTTCATATTTCGCACACAAATGGCCTGACCGGACAGAGCTGACCCATGAGTGTGCGCTATTTGCAAGCGAAAAGTTTAAATACATAACACAGGGCTTCAACCCCATGTACAGAGTACAGATATTACAGCGGCAGATTGTGGAGGCAGTGGTAGAGAGCGAGCAGATTGGTAGAGATAATTCCATTTTCTCAGATTCGCCTGGGAAAGTGGAATTACCCTTTAACAATACATCCATCTTACCTATTTCTCTAGTTTTAGCCACCAGGCCCATAGAGCATTTCTTGTCATCTTTGCCAAGTTGCATTTCCCAAGAAAATTATATTTTCTACACAGCTGTTAACTTTTGATATTGGGATATATTTAGCAGTATTTTATTTGCAGCAATTCATAAAATATCTATTCCGTGTCAATGTAAAGATACCCGAGTATTTAAGATCACACCACCATGAATGCAGTTGTAAAAACTTACTCTTGTTCCATGGCATTAAATACTATGGACTGTGCTGTAACAAAGCAGTTGGGGTCCACTTGTCCATCTTCGCCACAGATCTTAGCTGCAAACAATAAAACAGACCATACCATCAGACCATTCCCAACAGGCAGATCTGCAAACACCTATTCACTGATCTTTACAATGTAGTCCAATGACTGCATGACGGTGTAGAAAAGCTGTGTAGAAAAGTTGAAAATCACATTGCCTGGATTAACGGTGCATTAAGTGGAGCAAAGACTGAACCTGGCTGTCTATCCAGTCTAAATCCAACAGGTGAGATAAATCCCATTAAAGTGACATTAAACCCTCAGATTTTTTAACATAAAACAATACTGTAATGTGCGCCTTACTGTAATTTGTGGTTGTTTCCCTTCTCTTTGCTGCTCTTCCTTTTAAATCTGTATCTGTTCTCATGCTGGGCAGAACTTCTGTTTTGCAGCAGACTGCCTTGTCTCTGGAATGGCTACATGGTGTCTGTGTGCAGGTTCACAACCTGAGCCAGCACTGCAGCTGAGTGCCTCTTCCTGTAAAGGGAAGTTCTCCCCAAGCATGAGAAGACATGAGGATTTAAAAGGAAGAGCAGCAAAGAGAAGGGAAACTACCATGGATTACAGTAAGGCGCACATTACAATATTGTTTTATGTTAAATAATCTGAGGGTTTAATGTCACTAACTCAAAATGTTATTGAAACCCCCCATATAAAAAACATAATATTCAACAGTATACCTTAATACTTACATAGTTGATATCTGCTGTGTGTTTGCAACCTCTTATTTCTGTGTAATTCCCCCTTGAAATGTCCATACCCTTAATTTCCATTGTAAGGGCAGGTACAGTGCCTTGCAGGGTCCCCATGGAACCCTGCCATACCCAGCCTTATGCACACAATCCTGTCCAGGCCTATGAGCCTGCTGTGGACAGAAGCTGGCATAAATCCTATTAGGACAGGCTCACATGTGCTTTGGATTACAGCCTGCAGCAGGCAGAGAGACCAGCATAGATTCTAGTAGGACAGGCATGTCTGTACTTCCTTATAATGGTGATCAGCCTACTGGGACATGTCGTCCCAAAGCCAGTGGTCATGTGACCTGTACCATGTTCTATGGCTGCTACCCCGACTGGAAGTTCGAAGAAGTGGCACATTGTAATTATTTTTGCACATATTTTCAAAATAAAGCATATTATGCAAGCCTCACTGGTGGAAAGTAATGATTTCATTAAGTTATTCGAAAAAAGTGAATTTTAAAACTACTTTAGCTCACACAGATATCGAGGCATTGATGTACTAAGGCTAACTGGCTTATTTACAGTCTTTTCTTGTATTTTTTTTTACAATGATGGAAAATTCCTATTTAGTTCCCATGAACACTGCAACCTTTCCGTCAGGAGACTGTAGTTTATGCGAGCTCTGGTGTTTTAGAGGGAAAAGTATGTAAAGGACCACAGTAGGGCTGAAGAATCCCAAAAGCTAGGTGGTCAATATGACAAAAAATTACCTCTACCAACCAACATTTCTGAACACTAAAAGACGAACTCTTGGCAGATATAAAACACAGATTATTGCAGTTGCATATTCATTAAACACACAATTGGGCCCCATTCACACCTGTACGTTTAGGTATTCCTGCATCAGGAATCCCTAATCTGCTGTTTACATGCAGCAGCTGTCACCCGTTCAGCTGATCAGGTGATAGCTGCTCCATGTAAACGCTGGCACACCAAGTGTAATTGTATGTGATAAGATTACATGCAGTTAGGAATCAATTACTATCCCTGGATGAATCGATCGTACATCCAGAGAGAGTGATTTATTTCTAATGGCATGTAATCATATCAGATACCATTACATGCACTGTACCGGCCTTTATATGCAGTGGCTGTCACCTGATCATTAACATGAACGGGTGACAGCTGCTGCGTGTAAACGGCAGATTAGGCATTCCTGCTGCAGGAAAATGCAAATTCCTGACACAGGATTCCCTAATCACACCTAAAAACTTACAGGTGTGAATGGGGCCTGATACGCACACAGACACACAAACAGAAAAATATAACCCCCCCACCCCACACATGCAATGACACAACCTTCACACACACACACTACATTTTTGCAGGGGGGAGGGGGGGGCAAGGAGGTACAATTCCTGGTGGTCCAGTGGTTGATTAGTAAAGTCTGCACCTATGGCTGGTGCAGATCTTACTAACCCATACTTTCGTCCGCCGCTCAGTGAGGACTGGCAGAGCGCCAGCCGACAGGAGCAGCCAGGCGGTCTGCTTCTCTGTTCGATGTGTAGCTGCTCCCGCAAGTGAGGTACGCGTTCCTTGACCGCATGCCTGAATTGTCAGCTGGCTATAGGCCACATGGTACCGGTTCCGGGCTGGAATTGGCCCGTAGCCTGGTACTTTGAGACCCCTGCTTCAAGCCAAGCCGTTGACACGGCAGCAACTCTCAGGATTCATATTACTTCCTATTCCCGGATCTCAATCTGAAGAGACATTATTTTCAAATAAATTAATATTCAGATTCATGCATACACCCAGTTATGAATGGTTCTCTTTAAAAAGTAAAATAGTTCAGGCTTGAATGCACTGTAAGGATTAACGTTTTTATGCTTTAGCTATCTCAGACAAATGAGAACGAACAAAAGCCAGTCTCTAGCTTGTCACAGGACAGAGGCATGACGCCCTATTACACACAGTCATGTGGCCTTCACGTTAATAGGGAAGAGATGTGTGGAACCTCTGAAGAAAGCTACGGGAAGAAGCAGCAATGATTGTCCTTCAGTGCTTCTCTCACATATTTGGTATATGTGGACTCTAGACCTACAAAATACTTGGAATTAACATGATGGCCGGGCACATTTTATACATTAGTGCTCATTTTCACACTACTCCAGCTTTCCATACCTGTCAATCACTAAGCTCACACGCTACTAACCAGCAAACATTCCATATAACACAATCCGAGAGAATTAAAAGGAAGGCTACAGAAATATGTTCCATTCTGCAGAGGAGTATGTCGCACAGAGGGCTGGATAAATATGTTAGATGGAATAAGGTGCCCTAGTGTAAATCTGGAAAACAATAAAGCAGGCATCAAAATACAGGCAGTCCCCGGGTTACGGACGTCTGACTTACGGACAATCCGTACTTACGAACGGGGTCCACAGTTCTCATTTAGGAGAACTGTGGCTGCAGCGGCCTGTGTCCTTTCAAATCCCCACTGCTCTCCGCGCCTGTGTTGGTGGAGGCAGCGGGGACGTCTGCATACCGCCGATGCCCCACGTACCTTCGCTGATGTGCCGGCTTCCTCTTCAGCCGTTCCGTCGGCTTCCACGGTCTGGATGCTCCTCCGGTCTCCTGTTCCGGCCGCAGCTCCTCTGCCCCGCCCCCCTGCCTACTCTTCATTGCAGGCTGGGAGCCATACCCAGCCTGCTATTGGATATTGTAAAATGCAATAGCCAATAGCAAGCTGGCTATTGCACCCGCCCACTGTCTGCTGTCAATCAGCATGGGGGGACCTGATAGAGAACGTTCTGCTTCAGGCCCCTCCTCTGCTGATTGACAGCAGGCAGATGCAATAGCCAGCCTGCTATTGGCTATTGCAATTTGAAATATTTCTCCCAGCATTAAAATACAAAAAAAAAGTTTAAAAAATAAATAAATTTAAAAAAAGACAAAACAAATGTAAAAAAATTAAAGAAAAAGTTAAATAAAAAATAAAAAAAATAAAAAAAATAAAAGTTTATCAAATTAAAAATAGAAAAAAACTTTTTTTGCTGTGTCATTTTAAATAAAAAATGTTTTTAAATATATTATAATTTCTGAACAACAGGAACAGACAGCAAAAGAACCGTGACCCTTCCCTATGCTATCCAAAACTTTAAAAAAAACAAATTTTTGGCTGGAGTTACACTTAAAAAATTTACCTGTTCTGACTTGCATACAAATTCAACTTAAGTACAAAGCTAAAGTCCCTAACTTGTATGTAACCCGGGGACTGCCTGTACCGCTATTGCTCAGGTGCCTTACTGTATTTATTGAAGACAAGGGTTGTCACCGTAGAACAGGACTACAGAACAGCTTCCCATCTTAATCCCCTATGGTCAAAAACTAAAACTAAATATGTATTTATATGTTGAATTTCCATAATAACCTTATTGATCTAGAAGTTTGAAAATCCATCAATGCACTGACAATTTCACTAAGCCCTGTGAATATGCACTTGTATCACCACTCTAACCAAGGCTGCCGTCTGAACTACAACTCAGCGTCTGAACAATGTAACATTATCATTGCTTGCTGGAAACAATGCATGATGGGATATGTGGTCTTGAGAAATTGAGATTGCATCACATCAAGCATCAGGAAAAGAGATGCAAAGCACACTGGGAATCCAGGAAGTTGTTGAAAGTGATTGGCAGACGAAAGGCAGCACTATCTGCATAATAGGGATTTTATTCAAGTAAGCTTTGATTGCATTATCAAAAACAACTCTATGTATTCCAATTACAATGCTGATGTTATAACAGGACAGTATATGCTGGGACTTAACAGCCTATGAATAATCAACTTATTAAAAAATCATTAGTATTCAACCACTTACCTACGATATCACTCCTGATCTCCTCACTGATCGGTATGGGTTTAGCAGCATCTGGAGAAATGTATTTGGTGAACGTATTTACAGCATCTCGCTCTATACCTAACAAGAGAAACAAGTTAATATGGAACATACAAGTTTCCATATTATGGAACATACAAGTCAGTAAATGATCAAAACAAAAGTGACCTCACTAGTACAAAGGGCTCAGATGGATGAAGAAGTGAAACAAAATATTGCTTTAAGGTAGATTTTCACCAGATTTTACTACAATGCTACCCACAGAATTATTGCCCAAACTGGCTGACATTTTGGCTGGATCAGGGAAAAATATCTTCACTGCATAAACCACTGCTCCGGGATTCTACAGAAGCAGGTCAAGTGATCTTTGCTGAAGAGGAGCAGCAGAACTAGTTGATTTTTCCCATTTCAGTAGAGATCATATGACCAACTGCAGTTGAGGAGCCCCGGTGAAGGGAAGAACTCTAGGACTTTTATTATAGGTAGTAAAATAGGCAAGTTATCGGGATCACCTTTATCTTTAAAAAAAAATATATTTCTTATTTTATATATATGAAGGAAACCTGCCATGAAAAATATGGAGGTCGTCACTGCAGACTTTTTAGAATAGGAAAGTTGCCTGGCCGTTGGTGACCCTCTTGCTTCAATACATTTGAATCACTAACTTGGTACAAGTATGCATGTAAGGGCATCTGACTTTCCTGATCAGCATACTTGTTCCAAGTCAGTAACTCAAAGTAATAAAGTCAGAGGGTGAGTACAACAATAACCCAACCAGCCGCCCCCCATTGGAACAAACCATGTTTCCCCAACATTCATGGCACTAGAAGCGAGATAAACCTCCCCCTTACATAAACAGAGTGACTTCTCCCACCTTCTCCAGACAGAAGGAGGCCATACATCACAATGTTATTACTTTATATAGCAGTCTGTCTAAAACTGCAATACTAGTGCAAAAGGTAGACACTGTGTCAGAGTAAAAAATACTTCTCGATTATTGTTTCGCATTGTTGTGTTTTATAAAGGCTAAGCAACAGTATAAATAATATAAATAGGATCCATCACTGATGAACAGCTGCAGTAAAAATTACGCAAAACATATGAGAAATATGTTACCTGGATTGTAAAGAAGTTCATTTTTACTGTGAAAAATCCTCTTCTAAATTACATACAGACCAATGGAGACTATGCAGGCTAGCATTGCTAAACATTACATATAGTTTTACATGATATTTGTATTCACCTGTGGGAATTTTTATATATATATATATATATA